TTCACAAGATTTAAAGTCAGAATGAAGCTGCAAACTAAAACATGTCAGATTAAACTGGTTTAACTCAGACATCCTGGTTCTGGTAAGCTTCGAGCTAGCTCCAGGTTAGCTTTGGGTTAATATTAGGCTAGCTTTAGGTTAGCTTTGGGGTAATTTCATGCTAGAGGTCCAGCTGAACCAAACCAACCTGGTTCAGAGTTGGAGCTGGAACAGAAAGCAGTCCATCCGGAGTCTGCCACAGGAAACGTCCTGACTGTGGTTTGATTGCCATCAATAATTGGTCATTCAGTCTTTATCCTCTCACTGGTTCACTGTCCAGCAGTCTAGTCCAAGTCTTCAACGTGTTTCACATCATGACAACATGAAGCAGTAATCAGTGGAGATAATCCTGGATGACATTACTCCTCTGGTTCTACAGCTGGTAGAAGGCCCACTTTGGAACCATTTTTATGTGGCTCTGGATGTTCAGAGTTCCTCACTTCACCAGGTTCTTGGCAAAAACTGGTTCTGGTTCTGTTGCTGGCCTCCTCTAGGTGAATCGTCTCATTGAGCTTATTGTCACCCCGGGGTGCCAGCAGCAGCTGGGTGGGAAGCTAACAGTGGTGACAGAGCTGCAGCAGCTGCAGCATGGAAGGGTTTCTGCTGCATCACCTGCTGAGTTAATGTTCATCCTGCTGGCTTCCTGCTACGCTACAGTAACTCACCGCAACAAAAACACGCCAATGCATCAAGGCACAGGTCTACATCCTGTTTGTTTCTGCTTCCTGTTTGGCGTTTCTTCCTGTTTGTTTCTGCTTCCTGTTTGGCGTTTCTTCCTGTTTGTTTCTGCTTCCTGTTTGGCGTTTCTTCCTGTTTGTTTCTTCCTGTTTGGCGTTTCTTCCTGTTTGTTCTGCTTCCTGTTTGGCGTTTCTTCCTGTTTGTTTCTGCTTCCTGTTTGGCGTTTCTTCCTGTTTGTTTCTGCTTCCTGTTTGGCGTTTCTTCCTGTTTGTTTCTGCTTCCTGTTTGGCGTTTCTTCCTGTTTGTTTCTGCTTCCTGTTTGTTTCTTCCTGTTTGTTTCTGCTTCCTGTTTGGCGTTTCTTCCTGTTTGTTTCTGCTTCCTGTTTGGCGTTTCTTCCTGTTTGTTTCTGCTTCCTGTTTGGTGCTTGTCTACAGTGTTTCTGTGTTTGTGCTGAAAGCAGCAGCTGCTTCTCCTGTCAGTCGTTCTGGTTGAGTCTCTCAGGATGGCAGACTGTCGTCTGGCCTAAACGGATTCGGTTGGCTGTTTGGACTGTTGGACTGGTGGAGAAGCGGCGCTGCTGCTCGGTTCTGATTGGGTCCAAATGCATCCAGATGGACCTGATGACGACTCCCCAGATGATGAATGCAGATCTTCAGAACTTTGTTGCCTTTCCCCGGTTTGTAAAGTCATTAAGTGAACATGGTTCTGTTTCATCTTCACAGGCCTCATGGTGACATGCAGAGCAGGAACGATTTATTCTCTGCTGCTCTATGGTTCTGGTCGGAGTCCAAGCTGTGGTCTTCTTCGGGTCTTTGGCCAAATCATAGCAGGGAGTAATCTGAGATTACCTGGAGGGGAGAGGAATCAGAACCTGAACCCAGGGGTTGAAGGTCTTCTGGCCAAATGGAGCCTTATTTGAGCTGAACTCTTCAGGGAGAAGAATCATTGCGCTGCAGGTTAGCATGTTAGCAGGTATGAAGCATGTTGTTAGCAGGTAGTTAGCAGGTTATAATGTTAGCATGTTACCAGGTTGTTATCATGTAGTTAGCAGGTTATAATGTTAGCATGTTACCAGGTTGTTATCATGTAGTTAGCAGGTTACAATGTTAGCATGTTACCAGGTTGTTAGCATGTAGTTAGCAGGTTATAATGTTAGCATGTTACCAGGTTGTTAGCATATATTTAGCAGGTTATAATGTTAGCATGTTACCAGGTTGTTAGCATGTTATCAATAGTTAGCATGTTATCAGTTGTTAATAGGTTAGCAGGTATAGCAGGTTATAATGTTAGCATGTTACCAGGTTGTTAGCATGTTATCAATAGTTAGCATGTTATCAGTTGTTAATAGGTTAGCATGTATTTAGCAGGTTACAATGATAGCATGTTACCAGGTTGTTAGCATGTTATCAATAGTTAGCATGTTATCAGTTGTTAATAGGTTAGCAGGTAGATAGCAGGTTATAATGTTAGCATGTTACCAGGTTGTTAGCATGTTATCAATAGTTAGCATGTTATCAGTTGTTAATAGGTTAGCAGGTAGTTAGCAGGTTATAATGTTAGCATGTTGCCAGGTTGTTAGCATGTTATCAGTTGTTAATAGGTTAGCAGGTAGTTAGCAGGTGCACTGTACAGATGAGGGAGAGACGCAGCTGCAGCTCTGACTGCTGCTAGGAAATGAATTCTTCCTCCTTATCAGATTAATGGGTGCTCTCCTCTGAATGGATTTACACAAATCAATTAGTCTTTATTATGATCCAAACGGTTCTCCAGCTGCAGCGTTCCTCTTAAACGCCTATCAGAGATCCGAAGAGAGACAGAAATTTGGGCTTCAGCTGATTTATGATGATTTCTCTGGTTGTGGTTTTATTTTGTGCCCTGTCTCTGTTCTCCATGCAGTTATACTCTCATGGGTTAGGGTTAGGCTGTGTTTTTAAATTCATGTGTGAAATGTTGACAAGAATAACTTGGATTATTTAGTCTGTCAGCTGCGACATACTGGTGACCAGTCCAGGTGACCCCCCTCTCGCCCATAATGCAGCTGGAGAGGCTGCAGCACCTCCCGACCCACTGAGGTCAAGGGTGAACAGATAATGGATGGATGGATAGTCTGTCAGAATGGGGATTTATTTTTCAAAGTCATATTTTTTTAATAAGTATTAAGTAATTAAGCTAAATATTGATCTCAGAACTACATATTCACATAATTAGTTAGCAAGTTAAATATTTAACTACCTCAGAGCAAAATATTTAGCTAAAATACAAATGCACTTCCTCAGTGGAAGTGGACTATCAAAATAAAAGCTGGGCCTGGAACTCTTCCTGGTGTGACTGAGTTGCATCACTGTCGCTTCAGTTCACAGGAAACATTAGCCGTTTTAGCAACCAGGAAAAGAAACGATGAGAAAGCGTTTATAAAGACACAGCTTTTATTTTGGTAGTCCATTTCTGGTTATCAGCCTATTTCTATAGATACCATGAATTTCAGGGGTTTGTTTTACTTTCTCTTTGTGTCGTTTGTCGCTTTCTGCCATGAAATATGGAGATGATGAAACTGGCAGCAGAGATACTTCTATCTTTGAATAAATTCAGCATTTGTTTTCTCCATGCTGTGTGTGAGCCGTTCCACTCCATAATCCTAACAAGCTCAGTAATTCAGCAGTCAGAATCAGATAGAAACCATCGATCCATGTCTGGCAGCTGAAGATACGAGCTGAAGCTCCACTCGGCCTCCGGGCCTCAGAAGGCCTGATGAGGAAAACCGCCGCCGTCCAGGAGGCGCTACGCTGCTAGCAACTCTGAACCTCCAGCTAACGATGCTGAGCTGAAAACATTTGGGTTTTAATAGTCCGTTTGGCCCAAATGCTCCAGTGAATGGTGCATTTATAGCTGCTAACCTAGCAGCTATACTTGCTAACCTAGTAACTATACCTGCTAATGGTGTTGCTATAGCTGCTAACATAGTAGCTATACCTGCTAACCTAGTAACTATACCTGCTAACCTAGTAACTATACATGCTAACCTAGTAACTATACCTGCTAACAGTGTCGCTATAGCTGCTAACATAGTAACTATACCTGCTAACCTAGTAGCTATACCTGCTAACCTAGTAACTATACCCGCTAACCTAGTAACTATACATGCTAACCTTATAGCTATAGCTGCTAACCTAGTAACTATACCTGCTAACCTAGTAGCTATACCTGCTAACCTAGTAACTATACCCGCTAACCTAGTAACTATACATGCTAACCTTATAACTATAGCTGCTAACCTAGTAACTATACCTGCTAACCTAGTAACTATACATGCTAACCTAGTAGCTATACCTGCTAATGGTGTTGCTATAGCTGCTAACATAGTAACTATACCTGCTGACCTAGTAGCTATACCTGCTAACCTAGTAACTATACCTGCTAACCTAGTAACTATACATGCTAATCTAGTAGCTATAGCTGCTAACCTAGTAACTATACCTGCTAACCTAGTAACTACACATGCCAACCTAGTAGCTCTAGCTGCTAACGTAGTAACTATACTTGCTAACCTAGTAACTATACATGCTAACCTAGTAGCTATAGCTGCTAACGTAGTAACTATACTTGCTAACCTAGTAACTATACCTGCTAATGCTGTCGCTATAGCTGCTAACATAGTAACTAAACCTGCTAACCTAGTAACTATACCTGCTAACCTAGTAACTATACATGCTAACCTAGTAGCTGTAGCTGCTAACGTAGTAACTATACTTGTTAACCTAGTAACTATACCTGCTAACGCTGTCGCTATAGCTGCTAACATAGTAACTAAACCTGCTAACCTAGTAACTATACATGCTAACCTTGTAGCTATACCTGCTAACCTAGTAACTATACATGCTAACCTTGTAGCTATATCTGCTAGCCTAGTAGCTATAGCTGCTAATTCATGTAAATTTAAATATAAAAACACTTTTTTAAAATCAGTTTCGCATCAAATAAATTTTGGTCTTAAATATCGAAAAAGTTTCGCTGTAGAAAGTTGGAATTGATTTCATCTCCTTTTCTGTCCTTCATCCTGATCATCTGATTATCAATATTAAAGGTCAAAGATCAACATCGGTATATTTCACGTGTCTGTCTAATTCATGACGTCATTCTGAACAGATTCTCATTTATCGATACTTCGTTATTGATTTATGATTCCAGTCTGGGGATTCCTGACTCAGGTCTTTGGATCTCAGTTCTGGTTCTGGTTCTGATGACTTTTCAAAGCTGTTTAACTGGCGGGTTGTCTGGGTTTGATGGTACCGAACCTGTCAGAACCCGCCGGTTCTACACGACTCCATCAGAACCTCTCATCCTGAGGAGCTGCAGCCCGCCCCTCCCTCTGACCCTTCATCACCTCCTCCTCTTCCTCCTCTCAGGCTGCGTCCTCCAGAACATCAGCGGATCGCAGCAGAACCTCCGCGGCTCTGAGAGCGTCTCGGTTCCGTTTGTCCGGAACCAGCGCGTCTGAAAGGAGGAGGAGGCGCTCAGCCCGGTTCCGTCCCGGTTCCGCTCCGGTTCTCCTCCACGCATCATCTCCAGTCGTGACGCTTCTGTTTCGGATTCCGCAGCGGAACCGAACCGGGTCCGGTTCTCCGTCGGTTGTAGAAGGTTCGCATTGGAATTGGACCGGGTTCCGTGGACAGCAGGGGGACCATGACCGCCACCAAGGAGCAGCAGAACCAGAGACCGAACCAGCCGCAGCAGGATGAGGTGAGCCGCTGCTGATGCCGATTTCATCCAGAACCCGTCCGGGTCCAACAGAACCGGCGGGTCTGAGCCGTTTGGGTCCAACAGAACCGGCGGGTCTGAGCCGTTTGGGTCGAGATTTCTGTGCAGATGATGATGATGATGATGAAGATGAGGAGTGAAGTTGCAGCAGCTGAGGGGTGATGAAGAGGAATGATGAAGAGTCTGGACCTGCAGGGGGCGCCGTTGCGCTCAGCTGCAGCTAAAGCTCATTAGCAGGAAGCTAACAGCTGATGGAGCAATTAGACAGGAAATAGTTGCCCTGACAGTTGCCCTGATAGTTGCCCTGATAGTTGCCCTGACAGTTGCCCTGATAGTTGCCCTGACAGTTGCCCTGATAGTTGCCCTGATAGTTGCACTGATAGTTGCCCTGACAGTTGCCCTGATATTTGCCCTGATAGTTGCCCTGATAGTTGCACTGATAGTTGCCCTGACAGTTGCCCTGATAGTTGCCCTGATAGTTGCCCTGACAGTTGCCCTGATAGTTGCCCTGACAGTTGCCCTGATAGTTGCACTGATAGTTGCCCTGACAGTTGCCCTGATAGTTGCACTGATAGTTGCCCTGACAGTTGCCCTGATAGTTGCCCTGACAGTTGCCCTGATAGTTGCCCTGACAGTTGCCCTGATAGTTGCCCTGACAGTTGCCCTGATAGTTGCCCTGACAGTTGCCCTGACAGTTGCCCTGACAGTTGCACTCATAGTTTGCCCTGACAGTTGCCCTGATAGTTGCCCTGATAGTTGCCCTGACAGTTGCCCTGACAGTTGCCCTGATATTTGCCCTGATAGTTGCCCTGACAGTTGCCCTGATAGTTGCCCTGACAGTTGCCCTGATAGTTGCCCTGATAGTTGCCCTGACAGTTGCCCTGATAGTTGCCCTGACAGTTGCCCTGATAGTTGCCCTGACAGTTGCCCTGATAGTTGCCCTGACAGTTGCCCTGATAGTTGCCCTGATAGTTGCCCTGATAGTTGCCCTGACAGTTGCCCTGATAGTTGCCCTGATAGTTGCCCTGATAGTTGCCCTGATAGTTGCCCTGACAGTTGCCCTGATAGTTGCCCTGATAGTTGCCCTGATAGTTGCCCTGACAGTTGCCCTGATAGTTGCCCTGACAGTTGCCCTGATAGTTGCCCTGATAGTTGCCCTGACAGTTGCCCTGATAGTTGCCCTGATAGTTGCCCTGACAGTTGCCCTGATAGTTGCCCTGATAGTTGCCCTGATAGTTGCCCTGATAGTTGCCCTGACAGTTGCCCTGATAGTTGCCCTGATAGTTGCCCTGATACAGTTTTGTAATAATTTAATTGGAATTTATGGCGAGAAAAGAAAACGATGCGACAATCTCTAGAAGCTTTCATCCTGTTTAATCCGGTTTATTCTGGTCTTCTGCTCACAGGCCTTCAGGTCCAGCTGGTTTTCCAGAGCCGGGTTTGGATCCGTCCTCCAGAACCAGCTGACCCAAACGGGACCAGGGTTTCCCAGTAAACCCGCTCAGCCCGGCGGCCGGGTTGCGAGGCCGCATTAAAAGATGTTAAAGTAGACAGAAAATGTAAAAATATTACATGTTGATGGAGAACATCTCAGATGAAAGGATATTTGAACGTTTGAAAAACCCAATTAAAATGAATATCAATTATTTGCACTTCTGTTTAATCCAAATTAAGTTAGTGGCTCCATCGGGCCCCCGGGGCTACAGGGGTCCCATAAAAGCTAATATTTATTTAGATAATCAATACTGCTGAATTTATTTAATGGTTTCAGCATAGATAGATTAAAAGACACGGCAAACTGGTAATACAGACATGAACCAGACAGACATAAATCATCTTCACCGCCTTGAAAGCCACTACAAGTTATTCCTGCGGTTCACGTAGAGCTGCGCAACCAGAGCTAAGGCGATCTGAGCTAACGGAACCAGAGCTAACGGACCAGAGCTAACGCGACCTGAGCTAACGGGACCAGAGCTAACGGACCAGAGCTAATGCGGCCTGAGCTAACGGGACACAGTTAACGTGACTGGAGCTAAAGGACCAGAGCTAACGCGACCTGAGCTAACGGGACCAGAGCTAAAGGGACCAGTGCTAACAGGACCAGAGGTAACGGGACCAGAGCTAACGGGACCAGAGCTAATGGGACCAGTGCTAACGGGAGCAGAGCTAATGGGACCAGAGCTAACGGGACCAGAGCTAATGGGACCAGAGCTAATGGGAGCAGAGCTAATGGGACCAGAGCTAATGCGACCTGAGCTAACACGACCAGAGCTAACACGACCAGAGCTAATGCGGCCTGAGCTAACGGGACACAGTTAACGCGACTGGAGCTAAAGGACCAGAGCTAACGCGACCTGAGCTAACGGGACCAGAGCTAAAGGGACCAGTGCTAACAGGACCAGAGGTAACGGGACCAGCTAACGGGACCAGAGCTAATGGGACCAGTGCTAACGGGAGCAGAGCTAATGGGACCAGAGCTAACGGGACCAGAGCTAATGGGACCAGAGCTAATGGGAGCAGAGCTAATGGGACCAGAGCTAACGGGACCAGAGCTAACGGGACCAGAGCTAATGGGACCAGAGCTAACTGGACCAGAGCTAATGGGACCAGAGCTAATGGGAGCAGAGCTAACACGACCAGAGCTAACAGGACACAGTTAACGCGACTGGAGCTAAAGGACCAGAGCTAACGCGACCTGAGCTAACGGGACCAGAGCTAAAGGGACCAGTGCTAACAGGACCAGAGGTAACGGGACCAGAGCTAACGGGACCAGAGCTAATGGGACCAGCTAACGGGACCAGAGCTAATGGGACCAGAGCTAATGGGAGCAGAGCTAATGGGACCAGAGCTAACGGGACCAGAGCTAACGGACCAGTGCTAAGGACCAGAGCAAATGGGACCAGAGCTAATGGGAGCAGAGCTAATGGGACCAGAGCTAACGGGACCAGAGCTAACGGGACCAGTGCTAACAGGACCAGAGCAAATGCGACCAGAGCTAACGGGACCAGTGCTAATGGGACCAGAGCTAACGGGACCAGAGCTAACGGGACCAGAGCTAACGGGACCAGAGCTAACGAGACAAGAGCTAATGGGACCAGACCTAATGGGACCAGAGCTAACGGGACTAGTGCTAACAGGACCAGAGCTAACGGGACCAGAGCTAATGGGACCAGTGCTAACGGGAGCAGAGCTAATGGGACCAGAGCTAACGGACCAGCTAGTGGGACCAGAGCTAACGGGACCAGAGCTAACGGGACCAGAGCTGGTGGGACCATAGCTGGTGGGACCAGAGCTGGTGGGACCAGAGCTGGTGGGACCAGAGCTAACGGGACCAGAGCTAATGGGACCAGAGCTAATGGGAGCAGAGCTAATGGGACCAGAGCTAACGGGACCAGAGCTAACGGGACCAGTGCTAACAGGACCAGAGCTAATGCGTCCAGAGCTGGTGGGACCAGAGCTAACGGGACCAGTGCTAACGGGAGCAGAGCTAACGGGACCAGAGCTAGTGGGACCAGAGCTAACGGGACCAGAGCTAATGGGACCAGTGCTAACGGGAGCAGAGCTAATGGGACCAGAGCTAATGGGACCAGAGCTAACGGGACCAGAGGAAACGGGACCAGAACTAAAGGGACCAGAGCTAACGGGACCAGAGCTAACGGGACCAGAGCTAGTGGGACCAGAGCTAACGGGACCAGAGCTAACGGGACCAGAGCTAGTGGGACCAGAGCTAACGGGACCAGAGCTAACGGGACCAGAGCTGGTGGGACCATAGCTGGTGGGACCAGAGCTGGTGGGACCAGAGCTAATGGGACCAGAGCTAATGGGAGCAGAGCTAATGGGACCAGAGCTAACGGGACCAGAGCTAACGGGACCAGTGCTAACAGGACCAGAGCTAATGCGACCAGAGCTAACGGGACCAGAGCTAATGGGACCAGAGCTAACGGGACCAGAGCTAACGGGACCAGAGCTAACGGGACCAGTGCTAACGGGAGCAGAGCTAACGGGACCAGAGCTAGTGGGACCAGAGCTAATGGGACCAGAGCTAACGGGACCAGTGCTAACGGGACCAGAGCTAACGGGACCAGAGCTAATGGGACCACAGCTGGTGGGACCAGAGCTAGTGGGACCAGAGCTAACGGGACCAGAGCTGGTGGGACCAGAGCTAGTGGGACCAGAGCTAATGGGACCAGAGCTGATGTAAAGTTCTCCAAAGACACTTGATTCCTCCTAGGAGGTTGATGTAAATATTTGTTCTCACTTTTATTAATGTGGGTAAATATCCATGCAGGTCAGTTTGTGTCCAGTTTGAGTGAAAGGAGGCGAGGTGAACCCGTGCTCAGGTAAAGTTTAGAAATAAAGGGGCAGCAGCGCTGTGATTGGTCCGCTCCCTGTGGGTTTATGAATCCACCATATGTTGTCTTTAGGGATAAATCTACTCTGCCAGAGAAAAGCTCAGCACAACAGAGACTGTTTAAATAAGTCCTGCTTATTGAAACATAAAAAGCTATTTTATTATTACTATTGTTTTTGTAAAAATAACAACAAGCAGCGCTCAGCCTGGCGGGCTGCCAGGCTTATAATACACTGAGGGAAACCCAAGTGGACTGAGTTCTGTGATGTTCCTTCTAAGATCTTTAGTTATTTTCCAGAGGTTCATGTTGAGCTTCGTTCTCATTTATCCTTCATCAAACTTCCTTCCAGATTTTCTTTGATTAAATCTGAATCTGATTAAAGTTTGTTAGTTTGAATTAAATCAGATTCTGATATTTTTATATTTCTGCCAGCTGAATAATTGGAGCCATTTCAGTTTGTCTGATGGGAATTAAACCAATGAGTGTAAATTAATAAATTGCAGTGACAATAAATCCAGAATATTGCACTTCATTTGTTCTCACATTTATTAATGTGGATAAAACCAGAAATATTAGAGAGGCAGGAAGAGTCTGAACTAAATATAGAAATGAATAACGCAGCAGTGAAACGTCTGGACTGCCTTGCAGCCAGGCCTGAGAGGCAGAACCCAGAGAAACGGATCAGAATCACCTTAACTGATTACTTCCCCCTGCTGCTGGAAGTTAGCATCTGGCTAATCTCTGTGTTTTAGGTATCATTAGTTATGATATCTAACAATAAATTGTCACAGATGTTATTGCGATAAACAATAACACTCTCTGGTAACGATGCAAGATTAACTGGAGCCGGAAAACATTTTAAAGATCCAAAATAAACAAAACAACAAATAAAATTTCTGTAATCAAACTCTCATACAGATGTTTCTCATTATAATTTATCGTGAGATTAATGGATTTACTACGACAGTATGAACTGAACGTCCATTACTATTTATTTTAATATCTAAATTTAATTAAAAATAGATTTTTGTTGTGAGTCAACTGGACATGTTGATCTGTCAGTGTTCATCACTAATATGGATTTATGCTCTAATATTGTGAAATATGAAATCAAACAAAATTGGTGTCAGACGTTTGTGCCAGCTCAAACATAGCCGAGTTTATTGACACCTATTGTGTGTGATTTGCTGGTTGACCTTCAATGACCTCTAGGAACATTTCTTTATATCTCTGAAATGATAGCAGCACAAAGAAAAACATTTTGCTGCACAAACGTTGACACCAATTTTGTCTGATTTGAAGAAGGTGGAGGAGCAACTTCACTGAAATTCCCAGAACAGCAGGAACCAAAGATCTGAAGCGCGTTGCAGGAGGAAGTACAGGCCTGTAACACCGGGACATCCAGCAGATCTTAACAATCCTACATACACTTTTCTCAATGAAATATGTAATTCCAGAGGTAATATATGCTGCTGTAACGTTTGTCTCTGATCGCTGATCATGTCATTGATCTGTATTGATCTGATGCTCTCAGTTCGTCTTCCCATCACTTCTTTATTGGTTTATTATCGTTTCTGCTCTCGTTTTGCTTCCAGTGACTGTTTCCTGTTGTTTATTTCTCTTTGTGACATTTTGTTGTTGATGAGTTTGTTTGCTGGTCAAATTTACATTTCCAATTGGCTGTGTTGCTAGGCAACGCACGATGCAGCCACCCCGCCGCAGATGAGCAGCATTTGATTTTCAAGCATTTTCCTTTTTATTAATGTCTCAGAAAAATAGAGTGAAAATCTGATTTTATCAGGATGAGACCAACAGAGAGGGAGCGACCTGCAGCCAAGATGGCCGCCGCGGCGCTCAGGCTGTGGCAGATGGAAGATTCATGTTTCACTTTCATAATCCGGCTGCATTAAACATCCTGAAGTATAATGACTGGACTCTGGGACCGGACCGGTCCGGTCCTGGTTCCGGTCCTGGTTCCGGTCCGGTTCTGCTCCTTAACTGTGGTTCTCCTGTTCCAGGACCTGGGTGCGGTCAGCCCTCCTCAGAGGAACTGGAAAGGCATCGCTATCGCTCTACTGGTCATACTGGTGGTCTGCTCCCTCATCACCATGTCCGTCATCCTGCTCAGCCCAGGTAACAGCTGGTTCTGACCCGGTTCTGACCCGGTGTCCTAACTGTCCGTGACGCGTGCGTCGCCTCCCGTTCTGCTGGCTCGGCAGATCTCGTCCAGCTAGTGGTTCTGTGTCGGGTCCGGATCACGGTGAGCTCCATTTATTGAATTAGTGCGGCTGTAGAACTGCACTGTAAAACATTTCAGTTTAATTAAAGAGTTTCTCATGCAGCTGCACATGCTGGCAGAGTGTAACACAGACATCCTGTCATTTCAGCGACCTGCAGGTCGGTGGAGAAAACCTGCAGCGCAGAGCGGCAAACAGGAACCCGGGTTCACCTGAGCTCACATGGGTTCACCCGGGTTCACCTGTGCTCACTTGCGCTCACCCTGGTTCACCTGCTGTCACCTGGGCTCACCTGCGCTCACCTGGTTCACCCGGGTTCATCTGCACTCACCTGGGCTCAGCCGGGTTCACCCGGGTTCACCTGCGCTCACCTGGTTCACCTGGGTTCACCTGCACTCACCTGGGCTCACCTGGGCTCAACTGCACTCACTTGGGCTCAGCCGGGTTCACCTGGGTTCACCTGCGCTCACCTGGGCTCAGCCGGGTTCACCCGGGTTCACCTGAGCTCACCTGGGTTCACCCGGGTTCACCTGAGCTCACATGGGTTCACCTGGGCTGACTTGGGCTCACCTGCGCTCACCTGGTTCACCTGGGTTCACCTGCACTCACCTGGGCTCACCTGGGCTCAACTGCACTCACCTGTGCTCACCCGGGTTCACCTGTGCTCACCTGGTTCACCTGGGTTCACCTGCTCACCTGGGCTCACCCAGGTTCACCTGGGCTCAACTGCGCTCACTTGGGCGTGGTTCCTGGGCCAGGAGGAGAGAAGCCTCTCTGAGGCAGTTAGGGGTCAAAGGTTACCTACCTGATCAAGGTGTGTTCCAGCCAGAGTTCGTCTGTCCTGGGGAAGCGTCCCCAGACAAAGGGGGGTCAGTGGTCCTTCCTCTGGAGGGATTCCAACAAATTCAAACGTTGCAGAGTTTGAATTTGTCTCATTTAATTCCAATAAAATCCTGATTCTGATGTGGTTTGATTCTTACACTGTAATTAGAACATTTTTAACAGGTAGGATTCTGTTAAAGTCCTACCTGTTAGGGCAGGGTTGGGGTTATCGTTTTGGGGGTTTGTTCCAACGCTAAGCTAACCGTAACTCCTAAGCTTCCACTTCATGTTGATTAACTCGGATAATGTTATCCAACGTATTTCACATGAACAATCTGCTATAGTTTTAGTTTGTAAACATGATGGCAGCAGTTTTAGACGAGTAGCACGGACGGACAGATCTGGCTATCAATCCGGTAGGATAATCTGACGAGGTAGCTCAGATAGTCAGGACACCTGTTAGATACATTTATCAGAGTTCCATAGTTGTAAAAAGCTGCTTCATTTAAACTTATTGACTTAAACAAAGCTGCTGTGCCGCATTAGCAACCACAGGCAACATGGCCGACCTTCAGGCTGACCTCTGGTTGACCTCTGGGCAGCCACCCGTTTGAGGGAGAAATTCCGCCATGATAAAAAATCTTTGTTGTTTGAATATTTTCTGATAAATATGTACAAGCAATTATAATTATGGGCAAAAATACTAGTTTCATGCCATGTTAGTGGTAAAATCTAATATTCTAGACGTGTTTAGTCCAGATTTAGTTCTTCTCAGTGAATATTGCTGTGATAATATCGGTGGTTATTAGTGATTATTGTTAGAGAGAAAATATCTTTGCAAGCTGTGTGGCACCGGCTCAGGTCTCTCTGGCCTCCAGAACCAACAAGGATTTTCTGTTTGGACAGATAAGGAGCAACAACTTGACTCATTTGTTATTTGGTGCCACTGAGATGGAGCAGATTTTGATTTCCAGGAAGTCCAAAACCAGTTCCTGGAAGGCCTAAAATACAAATAGTACAAATTACAGAACAACTAGCAAGGGAAGGGAAGCAATGCCATTGGTCCAACCGTTCAAACACACAGCAGTAGAGATGACAGACATAAAAAGTGACGCATCAGAAAGAGCTGAGAGAGTCTGGATATTTGTTAGAGACGTTTTGTGACGTGTGATTCCACAGATGTGCAATTAAGAAGTGTCTTCCTGCTCGGCCTGAGCAGTGAAGAATCCCAGTTATTTTTATAGTCATATAATCCATAAGTTCTGATTTCTGGTCCTGCTGCCAGTGAAGCTGGTTAAAAGTCTTTATCTGAGTTAGTTAGATTTCATTTACTGATGAAAAAATGTTTTCGAACCAACCAGAGGCCTGAGAAGACGATGACAGGAAGCTGAAGTCCTGCAGGTTGTTTTCAGGCTCCTGATTGGTTCGCTCTTTGCCAGCCACACAGACTGTGTGACCGACTGCTGGAGCTTTGACCTCTGTGGCAAACAGAGGCAGCTAACTCGTGGATGTTTAATTCAAAGCAAACTCTATTTCACTCTATGTAACTGCATAAAGAGTGGAAAGTGAAACCTGTCTGCTTGTGTTTGTGTTTTCAGTCGATAGCCAAGCCGGCAGCGACACCAAGCTGACCGTGGAGGATCTGTTCAGACCAGAGTTCAGAGTGCACGACCCGGAGGCCCGATGGATCAATGGTGAGCACAGCTAGTCTGGGTTTGGGTTTCATCTGCTGGCTCTGTTTGATGGAGGAAATGGTGGATTATTCCAGCAGCTTCCCTCTCCTGGCTCAAATGTTGATCAAGTTTTGCTGGGATATGATGGTTGGCAGCTGTGGCTGGAACGGCTGCAGGAGCAGGCGGCCATGTTTGATCTCTTTATGCTAACCAGACGTATCATTGAGATTCCCAGCACTTATTTATCCGTATTGATTCCTGATTTGCTGGAGGCGGAGCCGCTGCTGACCTTAGCTGTAAATGAACAACATGAGATCAAACCAGGGTTTGGCTGGAGAGCAGGGAGTCCATGCAGAAACACAACTGGTTTGTTTTTCTGCTAAATTATTTGGTGTTTTTGAAATCTTTCCTGTCAAACTGATGAACATTTTTCATCACCTGATGAAGTTTATTAATTATCTGATAAGTTTATTAATCGAGTGATGAATCGTTTTCCAACTCAGTGAATCCATCAGTTATTGATCATCATTATCATAAATTATGTGGCAAATGTTTAAATCGATGGAAAGTATGTAGAAAAACCTGAACTTTATAATCAGTGGAAACCAAAGTCTGAGCAGAGAGAAACAGAAATGAATTCAGCCGTTCATCCTGGGTTCATGTTTTCACAGGAACAGTTTGTTACTTCATGTTTTGGTGAAGATCAGTAGTTAAAGTGTGAATCCAGCGATTTGACGTTTTAAACTCCACCACTGAATAAAACATTCTGAATTATGATCAGCAACAGACAATAAAATGCAGTTTATGTGAGGATAATGAGAAACAGCTCCTTTTAGCCGGAGGTGCACAGAGTTTCATCACAGAGGAGAAAAACATTTTTAAAAACTAAATTTGTCTAAACTTGTTTTTGTTGTTTCCTGCTCAACCATAAGCACGAGGAAACAGGCAATCACTCTTTGTTGCATCTTTTGGGCCATAAATGGCCCCTGCGCCTCACTTTGAACACCCTTGTTTACAGTAGTGGCAGTTCAGTGAATTAATGTGAAATTGTTAATTTTAGGCAATAAAATTTTAAGTTGCTCATTAAAAGTGAGTTAAATAGTTTATTTATATCTTTCAACGTTTTTCTAATATTGTATAAAGTAATAATCAGACTATTTTAACTTTTTATCTGATTATTGTTCAGATTCATTTTTCCTCAGTTCAGCTCCTGGTTCCCCTCTGGTCTGCAGTAAACCTCCACCAATCAATAACCAATCAATACTATTTGCGTGAAACTAATCACCATTAAATAGCTATCAATGTCTTATTCACAGGTTTGTTGTTAGCGGCTGCTGAAAGTAACTAAAATAGTCACTTTTAATTTAACTTAGTTACTTTTCAAATCAAGTAATCAATAATCTGCTAAGGTTCTTTTTCAAGAAGTAATCAGTAATCCGATTTAAGTTACTATTTCAAAATAACGATGCCATCACTGCTCAAGAGGTGTGTCAGTGTGTGTCGGTGTTGGAGTGGAGGAGAAAACCTGTATTTCTTGACTCAGCAGTAGCATGCTATCACATTGATCCTGGCGGTTTAGCTGTTAGCATTTAGCATGCTATCACATTGATCCTGGCAGTTTAGCTCTTAGCATTTAGCATGCTATCACATTGATCCTGGCAGTTTAGCTCTTAGCATTTAGCATGCTATCACATTGATCCTGGCGGTTTAGCTCTTAGCATTTAGCATGCTATCACATTGTTCCTGACAGTTTAGCTCTTAGCATTTAGCATGCTATCACATTGTTCCTGACAGTTTAGCTCTTAGCATTTAGCATGCTATCACATTGATCCTGACGGTTTAGCTGTTAGCATTTAGCATGCTATCACATTGATCCTGGCGGTTTAGCTCTTAGCATTTAGCATGCTATCACATTGATCCTGGCGGTTTAGCTGTTAGCATTTAGCATGCTATCACATTGATCCTGGCGGTTTAGCTGTTAGCATTTAGCATGCTATCACATTGATCCTGGCGGTTTAGCTTTAGCATTAGCATGCTATCACATTGATCCTGGCGGTTTAGCTATTAGCATTTAGCATGCTATCACATTGATCCTGGCGGTTTAGCTGTTAGCATTTAGCATGCTATCACATTGATCCTGGCGGTTTAGCTGTTAGCATTTAACATGCTATCACATTGATCCTGGCGGTTTAGCTGTTAGCATTTAGCATGCTATCACATTGATCCTGGCGGTTTAGCTGTTAGCATTTAGCATGCTATCACATTGATCCTGGCGGTTTAGCTGTTAGCATTTAGCATGCTATCACATTGATCCTGACGGCTTAGCTGTTAGCATTTAGCATGCTATCACAATGATCCTGGCAGTTTATCTCTTAGCATTTAGCATGCTATCACATTGATCCTGGCGGTTTAGATCTTAGCATTTAGCATGCTATCACATTGATCCTGGCAGTTTAGCTGTTAGCATTTAGCATGCTATCACTTTGATCCTGGCAGTTTAGCTGTTAGCATTTAGCATGCTATATCTTTGATTGTGGCGGTTTAGCTGTTAGCATTTAGCATGCTATCACTTTGATCCTGGCAGTTTAGCTGTTAGCATTTAGCATGCTATCACATTGATCCTGGCAGTTTAGCTGTTAGCATTTAGCATGCTATCACATTGATCCTGGCAGTTTAGCTGTTAGCATTTAGCATGCTATCACTTTGATCCTGGCGGTTTAGCTGTTAGCATGTAGTTAACATGCTAATGCTGCGTGACTTCAAGAGCTCATAGGGAATCAATTGCTGCTGATGAATGCTTCCATAATCCAGCAGGTGAACAGGAAGATGAATCTGGATCTAGTCTTCTCAAAGTGAGCCACACTGACCTTTACTCTGGAGGAAGCCCTGGTAAGCGGCTGCAGCTGAGCCGCTGCGGGTGGCGGCGGCCATCTTTCACCTCTGAGTCGAGCAGTTTCATTATTCATGGCACTGCGGACGTGCAGCATTAATTATACATTAGAGTCTGTTCTTTTTAAGCTCTGATTGGTCCATTATTTAAAGAGACAAGTGCAGAGAACCAGAGCAATTTTTAAAGATCACTGCAGCCATTATCATATTCATCCGTCTCCCAGCGAGGAGCCGTGTTCGCTCTGCAGGAACGACACACAAAACACAGTTTCACTGTAAATTTGGCTAAAACTGAAAAAAAATTGGGATTTATTGTGATTTCTTCTCACCGGCTCAGAAAGGAGATTATGGGCCGTTTTCACTCCAGTAGATTTGGTTCGATTGGCAAAATTGCAACATTTGTTCCATTTCCAGTTGCTGTGGTTTGTATTCACTCTGCACTGAGTCAAACGACCCAAATTAACTGAAAACCTGTTCCCCCATTCACCTGTGGGGGCGCTGCAGCAGGAACCACTGAAAGAATCGACACAAAACCTCTGAAGAAGACCAACTCTACTTCCTTCTTCACAACTGTCTGAAAGACCCAAGTACACTTGGCTGCAGCATGCGGAAAGGGGCGGGGACGGACCGCAGTCAGTCTCAGACCTTATATGGAAATGGGACCATTGCACTCCGGAAGTGAAGGGGGCGCTGTTTCCTATATTATCAATGAGCTCTCGTTTTTATTTTCTTTTGAAATCTGTGATATATTTTCACCTTTAGGAAGGATTTTCACTCTCAGCTTGTATTTGATCTTCTCTATTTCATTTACTTCAACTCAGTTTTTCACTAATTCTGCAGCTTTCTGTGATCTTCTAAATCTGCTCCTTCGTGCTGATACTGCCTCTAGTGGCGTGTGGTGGTAACACAACTAATATAACTACATTACCAAATCAGAATAGCACAAAGTCTTTATGATTTACGATTCATTTCAGCTTTACTGGCACCGTAAAAGATCAATTATCTTATAAAACACCATATTTTTTCATTTTCTTAAAGATGTAGAGCTAATTAAATGACATAAACAATACTTTTATACATTATAAATAATATCTATGTATCTCCATCAATTACAGGAGGAACAAAAGGAATAAGACATGAAACACAACTTGATCAACTATAATAAAAATACAATTTGCAATGTATACTTAAGAAATGTAACTGATCAAAAGTCAGTAACAAACAACTGAATCAGGTTCAGAAGAATAACAACCCAGGTTTTCAAACAGATACAAGCAAAAATTCAGATTTTAGTTTTTACGCTGCCATCTATATTATTCTGAGACTTTATGTTGGTAGAGTCTCATATTTAGGAAAAACTATTTAGTCCATCAACATGAAAATTTTCCTTCCACTCTAAAACAATAAATCCTATTCATAGAATCACATCATCAACAATTTATGAATAGAGTAAAACACTCAGCAAGCTGCAGGTAAATATTATCATTTAGCTGGTAAAGAATAATTATTGCCCTGTCAATAAATGATTTCTAATAGATTGTTATTACCAGAGGAAAACAGAAAGGGCTTCATGAGGTCAGAGGTCAAACTGATGAAGAAAGAGGATGGATGCTCTCTGCTAAAATATTCCTGCATCTTCCATCATCTTCCAGCAAACAGTTGAGATAAAGTTGGTTCTGGTTTCACCACCATTTACCTGCTGTTTTACCTGCCAGTGAAAGTTTCATTAAAAGCTTGTTAATCTGCAGCTCATGAGACGGAACCAGCCGAGGAGATGAAAAGTTCAAACTGGAGTTAAAATGTTGTTTTAACTTGAGTTAAACTAAAGTTAAATGTTACGTTTTAACATTTTAGCTCAACAAGCTCTAGTTGGGAGATCACTAGATCCTCTTAAAGATGGCGTCTCTGAGAACATTTCTTAAAAACTCCAAGTGTTTTCAGTGTTTTGAGCTCAATGTCCAGGAACGACTCAAAATTTGTCAGTTTCAACAGGTTGGCCTTCGACTGAAACTGGATTCACTTTCTGGTTTTGTTTACCTCATTTATTTATCTCTACTGCCTTAAGAAAATGAAGAGATGTGTTCTTTTGAGAAGGAATTTATATTTTACGGTTCCAGTAATGCCAAAATTAATAGGAAATAATAAAGATATTTCCGTTCCGTTCAGTTCCGTTCATGATTCTAATTGGTCCAAAGTTTGTATCTGAAGAAACCCGGCAGAGCGTGGCAGCATCACTCTCCTGACCAGCAGGGGGCGACAGTGGAGAGGAAAAACTCTCATTTAACAGGAAGAACCTCCAGCAGAACCTGCAGTCTGGTACCGAAACGTTCTGTCAGCAACATCTGAACTGGTCAGCTCTCTGATTATATCTGAGATAATCTGAGATTACAATCTGGATTGGCAGGGAGTCGATGAATAAAATCCAGTCTGGATCCAGATGGTAAACTGGGAGTTTTCCACCAGAACCAAGTCTAGTCAGTGGAGTACAGAGGTTCTGGAGCCAAACCCGGACATGATTGACGTCCTGTTCTCACCTTGGTGTGGCGTCGTCTCCAGAACCGGTCCAGACAGAACAGCTTGATGGCTCTGTGAGGGTCGACCCGGTTATCTCCATCAGAACCATCAGAACTGGTCTCTGCTCACATCCCTCCATGTTTCAGCAGCAAGGACGAAGGCCTCTGTCTCTGGAGACATGAAACAGGAAGTTACCTCACAGTTTGAAAAGTTCGACAAAGTTCTGCCTCTCTGTCCCGGTGAGCATTCTGGGCTTTGTAGTCCAGAACACTTGGTCCATTTGGGCCAAGTCAGTACCTTCCGCTCTGGAGGAAACCAGATGAAGGTCCAAATGTTCAACCTGAAGCCAAAGTCTGGGATGAAGGTTCATCTGAGCCTGGCGCCCAATCACAGCAGAGCGGCTCGGCGGTCCCTATTCTGGGACCAGAACCGGTCCGTATGGGCGGCCAGCGCAGCTGAAAGCAGGAAGCGATGGCTCATTAAGGTAATTATGGAAAGAGGAAGTGGAAGTTTGCCGGACGATCAACCGACACAAAGAGGGAAACGCTGAGCGGAGGATCTGACAGAGACGCCTGGCAGGCGGAGTGATGGTCCGCCTGCGACCGCCGCCCGCTGTGATGGTCCGCCTGCGACCGCCGCCCGCTGGACCCTGCCCAACGCTAATTGGTCTCCACGGAAACGGTGGCTATTCATCTCAGGAGTCGCTCTATCTGTGGCCAGAACCGCCGGACCATCAGGCAAACTGTTGGAAATGTGGAGGCAGAGAAATGGATTTCTGCTCAACTTCAGCCTGAAACTACAGACGAGTTCAAGGCCCAAAAATTCTGGTTCTCCGGGCTTCCGCTCCGGTACTGCAGCTCAGACTGGCCCAATAAACGAGATTCATGAATCTGATCAGGAACGGGACGAGCATGGCATGTGGAGTACTGCAGGGTTCTGGTTTAGGTCCAGTTCTGTTTGGCTTGTTCTAGAACGGACGGACGGACGGATGGATGGATGGATGGATGGATGGATGGATGGATGGATGGATGGATGGATGGATGGATGGATGGATGGATGGATGGATGGATGGATGGATGGATGGATGGATGGATGGATGGATGGACGGACAAGTAAATCTTCACACCTTGTGAAGGTATTTTTGTTCTGAACCAGATTGCGACTCTGTCGCTCAGACTGGATCACTGAAATCTCTTTACCTTCAGTGTTGCTCTGCTGGATAAAACCCAACAACTGCTTCGTTCTAACTGATTCTGGATGTTGTTGATGGTTTCTGGATGTTGTTGATGGTTTCTGGATGTTGTTGATGGTTTCTTGATGGTTTCTGGATGTTGTTGATGGTTTCTGGATGTTGTTGATGGGTTTTCTGTTGGTTTCTGGTTGGTGTCTGGATGTTTCTAGCAGCATTTCCTCACCAGAATCTGGTTTCTCTTACCAGATTCTGAAGTCATCTACAGGAACAGCAACGGTCATGTCATCAAGTTCAACCTTCTCACCAATGAGACCGAGATCATCCTCCCAAACACAACATTTGTAAGTAGTCCTGCTAGATTAAACTAATTTCTCTGTGTTTTATGCTGTTACCTCTGGCTGTCTACATCAGAGGGCAGTGAGATCCCTCTGGAGTTCTTCTGGAGTTCCTGGTTGAGTTGGTTGATGGACTCTGCAACGTTGTAGGGTTAGGACTAGTCGTCAGGGCAGTTCCCCTGGTTCAGAGCAGTGTTGTTGCTCCTATCTATCAATAGTGCTCAGCCTCCCTGGTCTGGTCAGTCCAGTGGTTTTGGAGAAACCATCAGATAGTTCATCCTGAGGTTTTTGAGCACTGTGGTTTTCATCCAGGAGGGCTCTGGGTGTTCGCTCTATCAGCCAGCATGTCCATTTTGTAGACTTGGGGAAGATGTTGGGTTGTGTAATTCAGGAAGGTACCGGGCCCTTCAAGACAGGGTCCCTGAACGGTACCAGTACTTGGTTCAGACGGCTAGCAGTAAGTCAGGCTCGTTTTTAGTGAGATTTGGACTCTGCCAATGCTGACCTTTGTCATTGATTCTGTTCATAACTTCAACAAACCATTTTGGTTTGGCTAATATACAAACCGATATTAGGATCGCATCTCTGCTTTTTGTGGATGATGTGGATCTACTGGTTTCATGAGGTCGTGATCCACTGGAGCAGTTCGCCATTGAGGCAGCCAGGTTGAGGATCGGGGGGGATGTCCTGCCCCAAGATGAGGACTTCACGTGTCTGCCGTGAAGCGACGTGAAGCGGGCGCCGTACCGGTCCGATGTGGTGAACAGGGAGCTGAGTGACAAAGCGAAGCTCTCGATTTGCCAGTTGATCTACGTTCTCACCCTTATCTATGGTCATGAGCTTTGGGTCATGACCGACAGAACGAGGTCACGGGTAGTAGCGGCCAAAATGAGTTTTCTCCATAGGGGGTCTGGGCTCTCCCTTAGAGAGAGAAGCTGCTCCTTCACACCGGGAGGAGTCAGTAGAGGTCTGGTTAGGGTGGACGCCTCGCTGGTTACAGGTTCATGTCCCACCATGAGGAGACCTAGTGAAAGACCAGGACATGTTGGAGAGACGATGTTCCCATCTGGGAACAACTTGGGATTTCTCCAGATAATCTGGATCAGAAATCGGGTTCCTCCCAAAAATGATCTGTTAAAAATGTTTTGTTAAATATACTGTGAGAATAAAAAGTGTTAAACTGTTTTGCTCTTTGTGGTCTGGAAGGTTATTTGTGTTAAACAACAACGCTCTTGCCTCCGCTAACATTGACACATACATGCTAAGCTAAGTGGTAGCTTTAGCTGTGGAGGGAGACGTGGAGAACCTGAATGAAATGCCCAGAAAACAACAGAAACTATCAGAAACTGAATTGAAAAGATGAAAAGTCAGTGCAACAGTTAGCAGTTAGCTTTCTACAGCAGCGTCCTCCATGTTGTAGCTCCTCAGCTGGGAACTGACCCATTTTATTCACCTCCATCTGTGACAATCTGGAGCTAATGCTACATGTAGCAACTGATCTTTGTAGCTAGCTGGCAGAGTGTTAGCTAGCTGCAGTTCATGCGAATGTGTGAAATGATGATAAAAGGTCATCAAGGAATAATTACTGTGAATTATTGTTTTCTGCTGTTTCAGGTGAATTTCAACGTGGCAAAGTTTTCTTTGTCTCCAGATATGAAGTATGTTTTGTTCGCCTATGAAGTGAAGCAGGTGAGTCATGCTTTGCAGCCGCCATCTTGGTTTCTTCACGTCTGCATCCCTCCGTGAACAGGTGTAGCACACTTAGCACATTAAATAGCATGTTAGCATATGCTAAACATCGTGTTGGTCTGGTGCTTCGGCGATAGTGGAGTTCATTCGTTGGGCTGGGGCTAGCACAGCTAGCTTCTAATTAGTGCAGCTAGCTAGTTAGCTGATTGTTCTGGTCAGAAGAGCCTGTGGTTCTGCAGAGAATGTTCCTGAACGTAGCTGTAGCTTCGATGCTCTGAATGCCAGGCCACACTCTGGCCACTTCATTAGGTACAGCTACAACATTTCCAGAGGTTTCCTGTGAGTCCTGGTAGCCAGCGCTCCTCCCTTGGGTTGTGTTTAGGTGTTTGGACTCATCTGATGTAAAGACATTTGTCCTCCATTCGTCTCCACTCTGCAGACGCTCTCTGCCACAATGCGAAATTAAACATCTCACCATCAACTGGCAGCATGCAGCTGAGATGTTCCAGCCTGAATCAGAAAGCGGCTGCTCCACCTGAGTATTTCCTGCTGATGTCGTCCTTCTCTGCTCTGTCTGCAGGTTTACCGCCACTCCTTCATGGCGTCCTACAGCATCTACAACATCCACACACGGTGAGCAGCTGGACCACAAGCTGCAGGGAAATGCAGCTTGTGCAACAACGCTCTCGCCTCCGCTAGAGGCGGAGCGGAGAGCGGAGTTAGATGGATCCTGGTTAGATGGATCCAGGATGTCTGTGACAGCAAGAGGAGTCTTGGAGCGGCTGAGCTACAGCAGCAGTTGGCCTGCTAGCTAACAACAAGAACGATGGCCGGACCAGAAACGGACCTGAAAATGTTTCCTGGTCCGACTGGTTCCCCCTGCTGATCACAGACAAAACTTAATTTCTGTTTCTTTAACCAAAATTAAAGGAAACCCCCAAAATAAACGAGTTTGACACAAAGAAAACGGTATTTTATCTCCAGAGATGGAGGAGGAGGATCAGATCATAAATCTGTTTCTGTTTAAATCTTTGTCTTTGTTCTGCTCACGTCCAAAATGTAATTTCATAACAGTGTGTTTCCATTACAAAGGAAATAAAATCAAAATAATAAACTTGTTCACACATTAGCGCTAAAACTTTTAATCAAAAAATAAAATTGGTAGAATTTATGTTCACATTTCGACTGAATCAGTTTTTTGATGAATAGAAACACAGAGCATGTTGAGCTGACGGGGGCAGCAATTTGGGGGCAGCGACACAAACTGAGTTAAAAACATTGAAAGAATTCCAGAAAATGTTCCAGAGCGCTTGGAGAGCTGATGGAAACCTCCGGAGCTAATTCTAACTTACTCCAGTCTGCCTAGAGGTCAGCCCCTAGCTGACCTCCGGCTGACCTCCGGCTGTGTGTTTCAGGGAGGTGTGGGAGCTGGACCCTCCGGAGGTGGTGAACTCGGTGCTGCAGTACGCTTCGTGGGGCGTCTCCGGACAGCAGCTGGTGAGGTCCAAACACGGTTTTTTCCTGAAACATTGAAATAAACCTGAACCAGAATATCCGCTGATGCAGGAAGGGATCGATGTTGAAGGTCTGCTGTTGTTTCCTTCCTGCCTGTATGTGGTCAGATGTGATTGTAAATCATGGTGGATGCTCCACAGATAAAGTGTTGAGCTGTCCTAGGATCTTATTGTTGGCCCTGTGCTACATGTGTGCAGATCTACATATTTGAAAACAACATCTACTACAGATCTCATGTGAAGAGCAACTCTCTGCGGCTAACGTCTTCAGGAAAGGAAGGAGTCATCTTCAACGGAATCGCCGACTGGCTCTATGAAGGTTCGGCCCGTTCCTGCTCCGTCTAGAACCGGAACCGGACGTTTTCTACGCCAGTTCCATGTTGTAGATCAGAAGTCTTCAACACGGGCGTCACATTGATAAAATAAGGTGTGACACAAGGTGGCGCTGCTTCCCGCCAGGCGCTTGGATGAATCCTGTTCTCAGTTTAATCTTCTCCATGAAGAAAATAACTTGTTTTATTTTTGGAAATGTCCTCTGAGTGCATGGACCATAAAGTTTTATTGCTATTTTATGAACCAGCTTTATGTAGACTGTGCTTAGCTTTGTGGCTAGCATGCTAGTTGGCCTGCTAGCTTACCGGCTAACTTGTTAGCTAGCAGTGGCGTCACTAGACAATGATATTATTCAATAAAATATATAAATAAATATTTATGTATGAAATGTCGGGATCTGTTCTAGGTTACAATGGCTTGTGTTAAGTGCAGCGAATGATTCAGCTGCTGCAATATTTCAGCATGAGGTTATGAAATATTCATTGTTTCAGTGCAGATTTCTTCCCTCTGGCTGGGAAAAAATTCATCTGTGTTTTTACTTTCAACCTCAAAATGAGAGCTGCAGCTGTAACGGTTTCAGTGTTAATTATTTTCTTTAGTATAATTAGATTCCCATCGTGATTCTGGCGCTGAACCGTTTTCAATTAGCAGCTACCTCAGTTTTTATCCATGGCAATAATAAAAGGACATGGAATATTTTAACAGCATAAATGTTAATCACTTAAAACTACACGCATATGGAGGACAAATACTCCCAACATTGATATATGTACTTTTCTACTTTACCTCTTCTAAAGAGTAAAAAGGAAAATAAAAAATAAATCTGTAAATAAACAAATAAGAAAATGTATGATTAAAAAAGTCAGTGTAAATTACATATGAAATGATAACATAATTTGAAAACATAAACAGGAAAAATAGAGAAAATACACAATATGAAAAAAGACAAAAGGAAACAAATTAAACCTATAAGATTGGAAATAAAATGAAAAATTGAACAAGTGACTCTGTTAAAATAACACTTTCAAATGATAAACAATAATTCATATCCTACTGAATAATCAAATAAGGATCCAGTCACATTCTGCCCTTCATGTAGCCATTTATTTAGCAGTTTTACCAGGATCAGTCCTCCATACAGGCAGACCAAAGGTAAATATCGTTAGCGATAGCGCTGAGCTAAAGGTGAACATGGCGTCCTGGTTGTAAATAATAACTGGCAGTTTGTGTGGGAACAGAGGAGATCCTGCAGAGCCATGTGGCCCACTGGTGGTCTCCAGACGGGGAGCGGCTGGCCTTCCTGGTGCTCAACGACTCTCTGGTCCCCAGCATGGTCCTGCCGCGCTTCACCGGCGCCACATACCCCAAACAGAAGCAGTACCCCTACCCCAAGGTACCGCTTCCACACACACACACCGTCTGGGACAATAAACACACCGGCTTCAGTTCTCAGAATGATTTCAAACAAACAGATCATCACCAGCTCTTACAATGAGGAGCAAAAACTCATCACGTTACGCTGAGTCAGCATTTATTTAACAAAAACTGTCAGTAATGACCTGCTGCTCGTCAACCTGGAAGGGGTCAGAGGTCATCTGTAAACCATCTCGGGTTAAAGACGCAGATGGAAGGTGGTGAACTTTTGCTCCAAATAGCTTTTTACTCTTTCTGATTTTGTAACCAGATATTTAGATCAAAATGTTTCCCTCATGATTCTTGGGTTGTTTGGAGGAAGTTTGTTCAGGTCTTGTGTTTGTGTTGTTTCCATGGAGCGACTTCACTCCGTCTCATTAGAAATAAACAAGAAGGAAATCGAGTGAATGTTGCTGATCTGGACACTTTTATGTGTTTAAATCATTTGGCCTCTTTATGAACAATTTATGACTTTGGCCAAAAATGACGCCATAAAAAGAGGGTGATGTTTGACTTGTGCTGCGTCATGTCATGGAGGTGAATGTGTTGGACTTCCTGTGTGTGATCAGCGGTGTTTCTGATTGGCTGTGCAGGCGGGCCAGCCCAACCCGACCGTCAGGCTGTTCGTGGTCAACATCTACGGGCCGACCCACACGCTGGAGCTGATGCCTCCGGAGGCACTAAGACTGCGGTGAGCAGAGCCGCCGGCGCGTAACCCCAACCTAACCCCAACCTTAACCCTAACCCTACCTTAACCCTAACCCCAACCCTCATCATGGCAACAGCTGCCAGCATCAGGCGAGACACAAAGTCAGCAAACTTAGTGGCAGCGTCTCCATCTGGTCCACCGTCCTCCTCAGGCTGATGGAGCTAGCGGGCCAACAGGAAGTTGGTTGCAGGTTGCAAAACACAACCTGTAAAACACACAACCTGTAAAACACACAACCCGTAAAACACACAACCCGTAAAACACACAACCTGCAAAACACACAACCCGTAAAACACACAACCTGCAAAACACACAACCTGTAAAACACACAACCCGTAAAACACACAACCTGCAAAACACACAACCCGTAAAACACACAACCTGTAAAACACACAACCTGTAAAACACACAACCTGCAAAACACACAACCCGTAAAACACACAACCTGCAAAACACACAACCTGTAAAACACACAACCTGCAAAACACACAACCCGTAAAACACACAACCCGTAAAACACACAACCTGCAAAACACACAACCTGTAAAACACACAACCTGTAAAACACACAACCTGCAAAACACACAACCTGTAAAACACACAACCGTAAAACACAACCTGTAAAACACACAACCTGCAAAACACACAACCTGTAAAACACACAACCTGTAAAACACACAACCTGTAAAACACACAACCTGTAAAACACACAACCTGCAAAACACACAACCTGTAAAACACACAACCTGTAAAACACACAACCCGTAAAACACACAACCCGTAAAACACACAACCTGCAAAACACACAACCTGTAAAACACACAACCTGCAAAACACACAACCTGTAAAACACACAACCTGTAAAACACACAACCCGTAAAACACACAAACACAAAATCCAATAGAAAAACGCTTCAACCTCTCCACTAAACCTCCAGACCAGTAGGGGGAGCCAGTGGTCTGGGAGAAAGAAGAGCTACATAATGCTCCACGTCTTTTATAATACTATAGAACAGACTCCATACTGCCCCTGGTGGTCTGGAGGACTTCCTTTGGGTTTTTACCATGAGTTTTTCCGTTAGCTTCTATTTCTGAGGCTGCAGCGTTTTTCTATTTATACTTTTAGACTCAGTTTGGTTTATTTATATATCAACAATTCACAACAAAAGCATTTAAAAATATAATCACTTCACATTTCACTGTCATTTGCCTGATGCTAGTTAGCACAGTGAGCTAACTTCATTATTCACATCAGATTAAATCTCCCTCCTCCTGACCAGCAGGGGGCGGCAGCAGAAAATCACTGCTTTCTCATGCCGATTGTCCTCAGAGCAGAGACTTTAACTAGGCCGCTGATCATCAACAGATGGTAATGGTGGTGTTCTCCTAGGGAGCATTATGTGAGCATGGTGAAGTGGATCAGTAAGACCCGGACGGCGGTGCGCTGGCTGAACCGGGCCCAGAACGTCTCCATCCTGACGGTGTGTGACACCACCACCGGCGCCTGCGTCACGGTGCGTCCCCCCCTCACGCTGTAGACAAACCTCCAGGTCCGCCCGTATCTGACCAGAACCAGCACAGACTCCTGCAGAGCTGATGAGTCTTGGTTTAACAATGTAGCACGCCCCAGTACTCTGACACCTCCAAATAAATGTGCTGAAGCCTTCAGAGGGCACCTGATCAGAACCAGAGTCCAGATGTTCAGGTTAGCTGCTTTGGGACAAACTCTCTCTATTGTCTGAAAAGTTGCTGAATGTAGCAATAAAATTAGCAGCAGAGCTACCTATCTGGGGCAGGCGGTTCTGGTTGGACCGACCCGGTTCTGGTCAAAGAGACAGCCTTTGACTACACTGATAAAACAACCCAATAGGAGAGGCTTTTATTGTGAAGGGGCTAACCTTGTGCGCTTTGTGTTGCAGAGACATGAAGAAAGCTCGGAGCTGTGGCTGTCTAGGCAGGTAAACCTTCATCATCATCATCATTTAAAAAGCTGAGTCAGTTTTCTGTTATTTCTGAGAATCATTCATCCTTATAGTAGAAACTGAAGCATGAAGTCATAACTTCCTCTGTAAGCCTCTGTGGAGGAAACGGGTCGACTGGCTGCAAGCACAGAAGCCTGCCCCCTGGTGGTAGCAATGAAAATTACAACCAACGCCTTCCAATAAGCTCACCTTCAGAGAACCAACACTAGGGGGCAGCTGCGCTAACCCCAAGCACAAGTCAAAAACATTAGCTAACGCTGAAATACAAGACTAAGAAAAAATTAATTAGATGCATAAAGTCATAGAATAGAATAGAATAGCATTTATTGTCATTGAACATTACAAAAAACATGTTTTGTCGTATCATACGACAAAAAAGTAATTTCAAGACAACAGGCATCGCAAGACAAGATGGAAACTTAATCCAGATGTAGCGAACACTGCCATCCACTGGTGGGTCTGGGCAGGACTGTCTGCTGCATGCTAGCTAGCAGCTTCTACTTCCTGTTCACTACAGCCATGCGTAGCATCAACGCTAGCCTGGTTAGCCTGGTTGGTTCACTCTGAACCGGGAGATGAAGACATTTTCACATTTTCCTCCTGTCTTTCTTTCTTCAGAAGTTTGATCAAAATTCACCCTTTCAAAATAAGAGCATGAATATAAATGGCTTAACGAATTATTAACTGTCGACAAACTTCAACAGACATCAGACTCTGCAAAACAGTCAAGAAACGTAACTCTTTAGAACCCACATAAGCTAATGCGCTAAAGGTTTGCAGAGTTAGCTAAAGCGCTAAGCTAAAAGCCGGTTCTGACCCACAGCCGGTTCTGACCCACAGCCGGTTCTGACCCACAGCCGGTTCTGACCCACAGCCGGTTCTGACCCACAGCCGGTCCCATCTCGTCCCTCCAGAACCAGCAGCCCGTGTTCTCCAGGAACGGGTCCCGGTTCTTTCTGACCGTCCCGGTGAAGCAGGGCGGACGGGGCGAGTTCCACCACATCGCCATGTTCACCACGCAGGTCAGGCTCCGCCCACCACGCACTGACACGCCCACCGGTTGCCATGGTAACCCCAACCGCTGCTGTGTCCGCTCCAGCTCAGGGCGGATCAGAACGAGGTCCGACACCTGACCTCTGGGAACTGGGAGGTGACCCAGATCCTGGCCTACGATGAGCCCAACCAGAACCTGTGAGTACCGTAAGGTTGGTTCTGACCCAGTTAATCAGAACCGGACTGACTGCTTCCTGTCGCTTTACAGTTACTTCCTGAGTACTGAAGGGTCGCCCCGGCAACGGCAGCTCTACAGGTGGGCCCTAATCATTTCCCGAAGCGGTTCTGTTGTCCCGGTTCAGTTTGGATCGGCTGATTGTTTTGCTCTCATTACTCTGCTCAGCGTTAAAACGGTGGGTCTGTTTCCACGGCGATGCCTGACCTGTGACCTTCACAGAACCAACTGCCTGTACTTCAGCGCCGACCTCAGTCCGTCCAACCAGAATCTGCTGCTGCACTGCCAAGGTAGGCCCACTTCAGGAGCGGTTCTAGTGGAGCGAGGTCCACTTAGAGCCACAGACTGGGTTCTGATGGGTTGGTTGGCCCAAACTGATAGAGCTGTGGTTCTGGTTCTGGTTCCAGTACACAAACAGAACAGACAGCTGGTCCTGCAGCAGATCCTCTCTGGGTCACTGTTCGACCCGGTCCATCACGGTTTCCCATCAGAACCGATCCGCTGTGATCTGGACAGACACTGTGGTCCAAAGTTCTCCCTCATGTTGTTAAGAACCGGTCCTGGTTCTGGTTCTGGTCAGGCAGGCAGCTGTGATGTTCATCATGAACAGTATTTTGTTTGTGCTCCTGTCAGCCAATCAGCAGCCAGCGTTTGTCAACCTGCTGGTGTTTTTGTCCTGCAGGTCCTGAAGCTCCCACTGTGATCCTCCACAGCCTCAATAACTCCAGTAAGCTAACGCTCTGCTAGCCGCCCTTATGTTCGCCACGTGGTTTTACTTTTCTTCCTTTGACCGTCAAGCGAACTTTGGCATGTGATCAATATGCTCTGTCCCTTTAAGACAGAAGTAAATGCATGAATATTTTTTGTTTCTGTTCTCCACCAGATTACCTTCAATCTAAGCTGTTGCATTTCTCCTTAGATTACTATATCCTGGAGAACAACTCAGTGCTGAAGGCGGTTTTGAAGTACAAACGGATCCAGAAGAAGGAGTACCACACCATCCGGGTCGAGCCTTTTGGTGAGGACAGAGCTCTTTGTTACTGCAGAAAGCCAGCAACAGGAAGCTAGCTGCAAAATGCTAGCTGCTAGAAGCTAGCTTCAGCAGCTAGCAGCAGGGTGCTAGCAGCAGTCCAGTCTGATGCTTCCTTTGTGTTCCCAGATTTCCCTCTGCAGATCTGTTTCCCTCCAGATTTCTCTCCGTTGCGTCAGTACGGCCTGCTGCTGGTCATGTGAGTACCGACCAATCAGGATGCAGCATCACTGCTTTTCTCTGATGCTGAGTCATGAATTCATTTTACAAACAATTTAGGTACTTCACAGTTTCAAGGTTTAATTCTGAAGCTCTGGCTAACCAATCAGATGATTAGTTTGGTTGACCCCAAGGTTGACCCTGACGTGCTGTGTGCAGTGACAGCGCCCCCGGTGGCCAGACGGTGAGCGAGCGCTTCTCCCTGGGCTGGGACTCGGTGCTGGTCAGCTCGGACGGCGTCATCGTGGCCCGGCTGGACGGCCGGGGCAGCGGCTTCCAGGGCCAGCGGATCCTGCATGAGGTGCACCAGAAGCTGGGCACGGTGGACGTCCAGGACCAGATCGCGGCGCTGGAGTGAGTGCTGCTGCTGCGCCGCCAAAACCCAACTATGTCTGCAGGCTTTCATTAACCTTTACTGGTTAAAATCATCAGTTCCTTCTTACATGTCACATTTGAATCACTTACAATAGTTTGATTGTCTTCTTGAGTTTATTAAAACTGCTGGAAATTGAAAGTCAAATGAAGGAAAAAGTAAACGTTTAGTGTCCTGCAGCTTGTAGTGGCAAATAGTTTGGATGTTCAGGAAGTCGGCCATGTTTTTCCTGCAGGTACATGATGAAGTTCTCCTACATTGATCGTTCGCGCATCGCCGTGTTTGGACAGGTGAGCAGACAGGAAGCAGTAGATGCTGACATCACTTCCTCTCAGCCTCACCAGTTTGTCGTCTTCAGGGCTACGGCGGCTACCTGGCGCTGATGATGCTGAAGTCAACAGATAGCCTGGTGAAATGCGCCGCCGCCATGTCGCCTGTTACCGACTGGAGGCTCTACGGTGAGTCAGCAGCTTTCAGAGCGAAACGTCAGCTTCCCCACTAACAATATTTTACTGTTTTTAACACGGTATGGTACCAAATATTACATTAATTGGGTTAAATTTTGAGGACAATAAAACCTATGAAATAATTTTTTTCTCTTTCTTTGTGTTTAGGAGTTTGCATTATTCATATGTTAGCTTTGCGCTAGTAGTGCATTAGCTAAATGTTAGCAGAGCTTTAGCTGCATTTTAGCAGTGCAATAGCTGCGTGTTAGCTGCATGTTAGCTGGATGTTAGCAGTGTGTTAGTGTGACTTCCTCCCCAATATACAGCACACAGCGGAGACCAGTTGGGTAAATTTCTGTAATGAGTGTCAACAATAACAAAAACACAGTGAGCCCCCCTACTGGTCCACATTGGGTACTGCAACAAAACTCCACGTTAGTCTCAGAACACAACCACCACTACTGTTCAGAAAGGAACTGGACTTGATGACCTACCACAGTAGAGTTCCTGACAGACTGTGTGGAATCTGCAGTTCTTCCTCCTTTTATAGGCAACCAGTAGGGGGCGCCAAAAAAAACACTCATCACAGGACAACCATGAAACCCATACTAGCAGAATTTAAACTGAACCATTTCAACTATGTTACATTAGCTGCATGTTAACAGAGCATTAGCTGCATGTTAACAGTGTGTTAGCTGCATGTTAGCAGTGCGGTAGCTGCATGTTAGCAGTGTGTTAGCTGCATGTTAGCAGTGTGTTAGCTGCATGTTAGCAGTGCGGTAGCTGCATGTTAGCAGTGTGTTAGCTGCATGTTAGCAGTGTGTTAGCTGCATGTTAGCAGTGCGGTAGCTGCATGTTAGCAGTGTGTTAGCTGCATGTTAACAGTGTGTTAGCTGCATGTTAGCAGTGCGTTAGGTGCATGTTAGCAGCGTGTTAGCTGCATGTTAACAGTGTGTTAGCTGCATGTTAACAGTATGTTAGCTGCATGTTAGCAGTGTGTTAACTGCATGTTAACAGTGTGTTAGCTGCATGTTATCAGTGTGTTAGCTGCATGTTAGCAGTGCGGTAGCTGCATGTTAGCAGAGCGTTAGCTGCATGTTAACAGTGTGTTAGCTGCATGTTAGCAGTGCGGTAGCTGCATGTTAGCAGAGCGTTAGCTGCATGTTAACAGTGTGTTAGCTGCATGTTAGCAGTGCGTTAGGTGCATGTTAACAGCGTGTTAGCTGCATGTTAACAGTGTGTTAGCTGCATGTTAACAGTATGTTAGCTGCATGTTAGCAGTGTGTTAACTGCATGTTAACAGTGTGTTAGCTGCATGTTAACAGTGTGTTAGCTGCATGTTAGCAGTGCGTTAGGTGCATGTTAGCAGCGTGTTAGCTGCATGTTAACAGTGTGTTAGCTGCATGTTAGCAGTGCGTTAGGTGCATGTTAGCAGTGTGTTAACTGCATGTTAACGGTGTGTTAGTTGCATGTTAGCAGTGTGTTAGCTGCATGTTAGCAGTGCGGTAGCTGCATGTTAACAGTGTGTTAGCTGCATGTTAGCAGTGTGTTAGCTGCATGTTAGCAGTGCGGTAGCTGCATGTTAGCAGAGCGTTAGATGCATGTTAACAGTGTTTTAGCTGCATGTTAGCAGTGCGTTAGCTGCATGTTAGCAGTGCATTATCTGCATGTTAGCAGTGCGTTAGCTGCATGTTAGCAGTGCGTTAGCTGCATGTTAGCAGAACGTTAGCTGCATGTTAGCAGAACGTTAGCTGCATGTTAGCAGAACGTTAGCTGCATGTTAGCAGTGCATTATATGCATGTTTGCAGAGCGTTAGCTGCATGTTAGCAGAGCGTTAGCTGCATGTTAGCAGTGCATTATCTGCATGTTAGCAGAGCGTTAGCAGCTGTTGGCCACTATCATAAACATCAGGGGAGAATAATAATCACTGGAACTGAACTCAGACAATCAGCTCAAGTTTTTCTGAAACATTTTCTGTTTCCTGTCCAGTTAGCAACCGCTAACCGTCTGTGGTTCCTTTCACAGCGTCAGCCTTCTCAGAGCGCTACCTGGGCCTGCCGGTACGGGACGACAGCAGATACCAGGTGAGCTTCCCAACCTTTGACCTCAGCAGAGCAGCAGATCTTCCTGTCTGCTGATTCCTCTGACGACTGAAATATTCATGGATCTGTCTGTGCAGAGAGGAGTGTTTTCAGTGTGTGTGTGTGTGTATTGGTGTGTTTCTGACCAGCCTGTCTGCCTGCAGGTGTCCAGCCTGCTGCAGAGCGTCCAGGCGCTCCGAGAGCAGACGCTGCTGTTGCTGCACGCCACAGCAGACGGTGAGACTGAGAGTCCTGGGAAGGAAGGGGTTAATACGTCATTCCTGCTAATGCAGCCTGACCCTGAGGAGAACATCGGTTCTGATGAGTCCGTCTGGGTTCTGAGACCTGCTGACATCCTGTCTTTCTGTCTTTCTTCCAGCAAACATTCACTTCCAGCATTCAGCTGAGCTGGTCAAGAGCCTGGTGAAGGTGGGAGCCAACTACTCCATGCAGGTACCCCCACATGCTAACAGGCTGCTGCTAACAATGTAGAGCTAACAGGCTGATGAGGAGCATTCTCCTCGTCTCCTCAGATCTACCCAGATGAAGGTCACTTCCTGTCGGCGCCGAGCCGCCAGCACCTCTTCGCGTCGCTGAGCGGTTTCTACAGGGAGTGTCTGAAGGAGGAGCTGCTGCCGCTGCCCGACGAAGACGAGGAAGAGGAGGAGTGACAGCTGCCGGTTCTCCGCCTGGACTCAGCCTGCGGAGCTGCTCGGCCTGAACGAGCGCTTTGTTGTGTGAATGTATAAATATGTGGACATGAAGGACAGCGGGACGCCGCGGGGACGGCAGGGGGCGTCCTCGCCTCTAGCATCAACTTCTTCTTCTGGATCGCTCACGATCCCAGCTAAGCACACGGAGAACTTCCTACGTTTGTTCCAGGTTCTTCAGACTGCAGCCCTCCACACCGAACACGTGCACCACCGCCACAATGGTCTCCATGGAGACGGCGACACCGCCATGATGGAGCTCCACCTGACACCAACACCGTAAACCGACGGGAGCAACGCACTGCACTGATAAAGAAACAACGTCCTGTTAGCATCCAGTTAGCATCAGCTGTTAGCATTAGCTGTTAGTGTCAACTATTAGCATCAGCTGTTAGCCTCCAGTTAACCTCCTGTTAGCTTCAGCCCTTAAAGGGACAATTCTCCTGACAAACTGGGTTTCTGGACCAGTCCAAGTTGTGACCTTCTGACCCTGGATGTCTGGGATGAAGAAGCGAAGCTTCATCTGCAGGTTCTGCTGCAGAACCAGAACCAAAACCAGAACTTTCTCAATCTGCACCCATCAGTTGATGACATCAGAACTGCAGCTTCAAGACTTTCCAGAAAACCGGCCGATTTGACCTTTAACCTTCATTATTCTGATAATCATCCCACAGTCCATTTCCTGCAGTGAAGCAGCGAATCAGAACTGAGTCAGTAGTTACAGTCCAGTTCCAGAACCAAAGGTCCAGTTTGGTTGTCCAGCAGAGAGTTCTGTCAAAAAACAGCAGACTAAATAATATTCATAACAATAATAATCAGTGGTGGACTCTGCTAGATAAAACGTTAGCTGCGCTAATGCTAACGCAGTCGTTGTTTCTGCTAAAATGCTAAATTCAATAGAAATGATATTTTCCCTTAAAAGGGTTAGGGTTAATTTGGACATAATTTAAATGTTCTGTTATTGATATTGTATTTGTTTATATTTTTGTCCATTTTATTTTGTTCCTATATGTTTTTTTTTGTTAAAAAAACATGACAGGAAGCGGAACTGACGTCACCTCCTTCAAAATAAGAGCATGAATGTAAATGTCTAAAATTGATCAATTATTATCATAATCAAAATGTCAACACAGATGTTGAACTTCAGCTGAATGTTTCCAAAACAGCCAGATAAATTATCTTAAAAAATTAATTCATTAAAAAGCTCAAATGCTAAATAGAAAGTTAGCTCCACTGTTAGCCGATTAGCTCCATGTGGTCTGCCTGAAATCATAATAAAACATACATAGTGAAATATAATTATCTACCAATGTATTGGAATTAGACAGCAGACAAAACAATAAAAAATAAAACTGTAATGAAACATGTAAGTTCCACCTTTTGAGCTTTCCATCATATAAAACACCTGCAGTGTTTCACGATCGCAGGCTTGCTGCTCTAGAACTGGACCAGTTAAAGTAACGGATGATGTTGGAGGACAGCAGCGAGATTTAAATCTGGCCTACTTAAATCTCCAGACTGAGCCGGTTCCATCTGAACGCGGTCAGCCGTTAGCTTCACTGAGCAAGCACCCGGCGACAGTGGACAGCAACAGGAGGCCACAGCTGTCTGGCTCTGCTTTAATGTAGGACTGACAGCCAATCACACGCCAGCTCCTGAAAACCTGAGCACACATGAACCAAGCTGCTGCTGCAAGGTCAAAGGTCACGTCCAAACAAATCTGAAAGGAGATTCAGTTTATCACTTCTCTTCCAACTCTTTGTATATTTGTAATAAAAAATAAAAGGTCACGTATGGGGCGACATTTGGGCCAAAATTAAGACAACAGCTCACCCAAGTGTGGCTACTTCCTGTTAGCATTGGAGAAGGTAACGATTAGCATGTCTAGGCGAGTCACGTGCTGAGCTAAACATTTTTTTGTTTCAGAAAAAACAAAAAAAATTGTGTTATTAAATTTTGGCCCTGATGGCGCTCCATACGCTGGAACACGGCAGGTCCAGCTGCTGGTTCTGTCCCAGTAGCTGGACCCAAGACCTGGGTCAGAACCGACTTTATTTTTAGCTTCGCTAAATCTTCTTAGCTAACTTTGAAAACGTTTAGCACACTTAGCTTCTGCTAAATGTGATAATTCTGGATAAATTATAAGGCGCCAATTTACGTTTTGGTTTTTGTAGTAAAATTAGAGGTCCAGATGCTGGTTCTGGTTCGGCTGCTGGTTCTGGTCCGGCTGCTGGTTCTGGGCCAGCAGGTTCTGGTCCTGATTAATTGGATAATCTGCACCTCCT